CACCTTAAAATGAATTAAAGCCATTTTCTACTACCTGGAAAAACTGACCCCCATCTTTTCTTAATTTAGACTAGTTATGGTCTTGGAAAGAATTAACAACTATACAAGAAAAAAAAAAGTCAATGTTTTCATCCAATTAACTGTTATTGGGACCTCTGTTGAAGGTCATTAGAAAAAACCTATACATTTTTTTTCTCTTTAAGTCTTCTTAACAATTTTCGTATTTTACCACATTATAGCTGTATTCCTTATTTTTTATTACACTGTCAAGTGGTATTTAGGTTTTTCAAGTTATTTATCACGTTAAGACAACTCTGGTTTATGTCCATGTAGCTAAATATTAAGCTTTAAAAGGTTAAAAAATTATTATATATAAATACATTATATTGGTTTTTAATTTATATGCAATCAGCAGAAATTAAAGTCAGAATATGATGAGCTCATACAGTTTCAAATATAAAAAGTAGAAGTTGTGGTTCAGATCTCACCTCGACTTTTCTCTGAATAGATTCGTAAGGCCTAACAGACAAACTGTTGTATCTGGTGCGTGGAGCAACTGTAAGAGTAAGGTCTCCTTTCACAGGTTTACCATACGTATATCTGATGGAGAATCATATTTTTAATTCACCAATGACTAAGGTTTCATGTAGGGGCTCTAATAAACTATACATTAGATACAATTACAAATTTGTACGATACCAACGAACTTTTCTCACACTCACTACAAGTGTTCTCTAAAGAATGTAATACATCATTAATAATTAACACTGACCAGCATAATTTTAAGTTGAAACTTGCACTAATAATTTCTGTAATAGCACAAAAAGCTTGTCATTATTTAGTTATATAAACCAAAAAAGCAAATTAATATTCATATCATGGTAGCTCTGATTTAAGTCAAAATGGAGGAAAAAACTAATTGTTTCTTTTCTGAGGATCAAAAGTTTTTCTTTTGGATAATTAATACAGGGTGATGTAAAAATTGCACATTACCATAATTTTCAACACTGACTTTACAACTATTCAAAATGCATACCAATTATATCAGAACAAAATGTCACAACAGGATAATTTAGATTCTTGCAAAGTTAATGACATCCTAACCAATTACAGTAACAAAAGAAAAAAAGTGAAACAGAAATCAGTTTTACCACAATCTTAGTAAGAACAATATTTATCAGCAGTACATTACTTTTGCATCACCCTGTAAATTTTTTTCATTATATAACTATCACAATATCTTCTCAGGAATCTCAAAGTCAAATACTAACTTGTTACTTTGGTATTATGAAAAGGCTAATTCAAGACTTTATGACTTACTATTTGGTATTCTTCTTTCTACAGCAAGATATGGAACCTAATTTTACCAAAATATGGCCAGTATTTTTTATTATATTATATATAAACGACTGAATGTAGTTCTTTGGCTACAGCTTTAGTCTATTAGCCTAAAGTACGTATGTCCAAACAAGATCCAGGAAACATTTTTTGTATCAAAGTTTATGAGCTTAATCCTAATTGACTTTGTAAAGAATAAGGTTTGTGAATTCACTCCACAGAAACAAAATACCTATCAAACTACATCAACTCAATCATTACCTATGCAAAACTGGTTTATTCCCATTTAGTCTACTCTAATGTAAACATATACCAAAATAAACGTTTTATATTTTTTCTGTAAACTTGATATGCCACTTTATTGTAAAATGAACAAAACTTTAAAGCAGTATCATAGTTTCTTCAGAACAAGCTAGGTTTTTGTGATATATATATATATATATATGTAGTATATATGTGCATGTACATAAGAAACATTGATGTGTAAATGTTTTAAAAGTTTATTTCATTGCATTGTAAACAGAAGGAATACAAAAATGCTTTGTTAATAAAACTTTGCCAAAGTGATATTTGTATCTAAACCTTATTCTATATTTGACAGCCTGATGATTGTATATTTTTTAGGGCCATTCTCATTTTGTCTACTCCAATTTAGTCTATTGCCAATGGGAGTAGATGAACAGGGATGTTACCACAAAACTATAACTGCAATGACTAATTCAATATCCAAGATAAACACTATTTCAACTTTTAGAAGTTTATAAGAGAGACTTACATGGCTCTAATAGTGGCAACAATAGAAGACTTGTTGTAAGTGGCATATGGAGGAAGATCAACCTTCACTTCAAAAGTAGGAAGAACTGCGAGACAACAACTCTTATGAAAATATAAACTTCCAGGTGAAAAAAAACTTAACAGTCACACAAGTTATCTCTAAATGCAAATATAAAACAAGCATTAGGAACAAGTATAAAAGGTTCCTCATCCCAACCATTCACAAACTGACACTAATACTTGCAGTTTTTGTTATAAACTGTTATGTTAAACTGTGTAGTTATGGTTTAGAAATAAACAGAAGCCAAAGATGAGTTTGTTTCTGTTATTATTAGGCAGCCTATGATGCAATGCTACTTACATACCTGTCCTCTGTTTATAGATACAAGTATCGAGTAATGTGTACATGGATTTAGGAATGCTGATAAACACATACAAATAGTAGCTTCCTTCCACATACAACTTTTCTATACTATGTATCAATAAAAGACAAAATACCATTTAATACATTTAAAATTTTTGATCATTTAATAGTGTTTACAACACAGAAGCATTTTATTATTGAAAATCTTAAAGACAATTTGACTGAAATTTGCTATTATTCAATTTAACACTTTTCTTAATTTCACTTTCTATTTAAACTATTACATAAAAATTTTGGTAGCAATATATTTATGGCATATGTTCTAGTTTTCTGTTAAAAAAAGAAAGTCAAATACTTCATGCCAAGATTAACGAAAAAGTTTTATTCTATACTCACCATACTCAGCAACTGTAAAAGATTTGTTAAAGCTCTGGCCCTAGAATTAAAAAATATCAAGTAGATCAATAAACAGGATTATCTCAGTTTCCAAGCTACTGTTATAAAACAAGCAAACAGGTTCAGACTTGTCTACACTATAAGAGTAACATATTTAGGCTTAATAACCAAATAACCAATATAATCACTGTACACCTCTAGCATGGTAGGCATGTTACTAAAGAATGACTAGTGCAAGTAAAAACAAAATTAACAAAGAAACAAGAGAGATGTGTTTATATATGTTTGTGTGTTCTCACTACTATGATTATGTGGTATAGGAATATACCAGAAGTTTCTCTTTCCTGAAGAATCTATATTTATTCTGAATTTATTATTAGTTCTGAATATGCAACAGTTTCGGTATAATACACTTGGTTCAGAAAACTGTTGAAGTTTCTCACTTCCGTCATTGCCTTATGGCTTTGTTTATCTTTCTCATACCAGATGACACAGACTTGACTTGTCAAAATGCTGCAGTAACATTCTGCTAGTCAAATGAACAATGTCTGTGTGTAGTTCTTCAGGAATTTGCTCTGAGAGAATGAAGCCTGAATTCCTATACACTGATCCAATAGAGATTATTGTTGAATTGCTCACACAAGTATACACAGATTTTTTGTCCTTGTACTAATAAAAATTATGTTTGTAGCATCTCGTACTTTATTCAGACCATTTATTCTTAGATCTAAACTCAGCCAGTATACCTTCTGCAATGTCCCATAACACCATATGTTGTGAAATCCCCAGTTTAGTGGACTTATCCAATAAAGATCTTGAGTTAATTTTGTTCACCTGAATATATCAAACTTATTTTGCACTTCTACCTTTTTGTATTAATACAATATAATCTAAATTTATCAGATGTTTCTGAATATGTGCAATTTTCACATAACATGTGGTATTGTATATGCACCACATTGTATGATTACTACTCGATTATCTAAAGTTAGGATGGTTTGTTGATCGCAAGATTAATAGGACACTAACTTTCCAAACTATCATGTAGTTTCACTACAAGAGATATATTCATAGGATATTGGATGATAGCTGCTTGATTAACAGAATTAAGGCAGCTGGAGTTAGTAGATGAAATACCTAGTCCATCAACAGTTTGCACAGCTGAATGATGACTAGAAGTTAAAAAAACTCAGCTGAGAAAACCTTGCAACATTTGCTTTTTGAGATACCAAGTGATTTTTTTCCAAGGTGGAATGTTTCACAGGAATCACTCCCCTGATCTAGCAGATTGGCAAGAGCTCTACAGAGAATACAGCATGATCATGATCTTTTCTGGGATACATGAAGAGTGTGTAACTTCTTCACTTGCTGCAAGAGTTGTGTTTTTGCAGAGTGTATATTTGATATACAATGTAGTAACAGCATGAATATTTAATCCTGACTTATGAGAAGTTTAGCTCAAAAGTCTTTAGTGTAAATTCTGTTGGCGATTATTTTGCGATGCCTGAAGGGAAAATTGTTGAGTAAACTTATGTAAATATGACTTGTATTCTTACTTGTTAATTTAACTTTTGTTATTTTCTTCAGTCTATATATGTAGATATTTTAATGGAATATTCTAAATCTTCAGCTTTTCTACTTTCAAGATGAACCACAATACAAACCAAGTATAGGTTCAAGAAACTAAGACTCCATGTATATACCCACACTCACACACTGCATACGGTTTGTAAGGGTGTGTCCTGTATCTTTAATTTCAGCATATTGTATTATTCTTTATCGTTAAAGGATTCTTTTTGGTGCTTCTTTTTATCTTATTTCATGTGTAGCATTCAAAGATTTTGTTTGTTTGTTTTGAATTCTGTGTAAAACTACTCAAGGACTTTACACCAGGCATTTCAGGCTTTGGTATTGAAAGACATTTTAGTAATGTTGGGGTTATCCTAAATGATGATTATTAGTGTAAAAGAATATTTTTTGGTGATAATAATTTTTTTTTTTCATGCAAGTGTGTTAAAAGAATCATTTTGTTCTATGGTACTATGATTTTGTATTATGACTGACTTCAGTATGATGTTAAAGAATATTTTTGAAATAACTCTTTGTTGAATGGTGTTCACTATAGACTGTATTTATAGATAAATATTTATGAATTCATGTTTTGTATTGAAGTGATTACTATGTGGAACACAATTCAAAGGATTTCTTTCTTTCACATTGTGCAATTGCAATTTTTCACTGTTCTGCTTGAAATATATTCCTTTAAAATATGAATTCTCTGTTAAAAGGTGTTTACGAATTATATTTCATTGTTCAAGGGTTATGATGTCTGTGTTCCATATAAGTGTTTAAAGGAGTATGAGAAGGTCACAATACTCCTTGACCAGTGTGTGTGTGTGTTTAAAGCCAATAAAATGTAAACTAATCATTGGTTTGAGATCAAGTCTGAAGTAATGGAAGGAGAAAAGAGTGGTATATAAATATACTGTGCATTTCTACATTCTTGTATTAATATAGTATTTATTATAAATTTATCAGTTATTTTGAGTATGTACACAATGATTTTCTTGACCATGTGTTATGTTGATTTCATTCTAGCTGCCTTTCGTCCTTGTCATTATACTGAAGTCACACCTGTTCTGGGTGCAAAAAAATAGACAGCAGTGTCCTTCAATGGTAGGTCAGGTGGTATATTGAGGTTATAAAATTTAAACAGACTGGTAGCTGACCTTGACCTGATCAGTTTGAAAGGAAGCTAACTGATCCAGCATTAAAGAGATGGATGATCATAAGTAAAAAAATTGCATTTGTGTTTTTGAATATATAGAAATTATTTACTTGCATTTTACATTGTCTCCTGACTATTATATTCTTACAAACTCAGTTATTCAGAAATCCAGTACTATTTTATAATAAGCATCTTGTTGTACATTCTGTTATTAACAAACCTATCCCATTGCTCTTAGATTAACTCAGTTTCATCTGAATATATCATAATTAGAAGTAGCATAAAAGTATGTGAGCACCTTTCTTAAATCTTATCTCACTATAATGGATGTAGCATGTATATATGTATGTGACTCAAATAATAAATATAATCTGGCGCCATCTATTGATTGGCATCACAAACAAAATTCCATAAAATTTTAACACATTGGGTATTCAAGATTTAGTCAATTAGACAAATAATTGTGGTATGTACAACAACCATTTCTTTATAATAGAACACAATTTTAAATAAAAGTACTCTCCTCACAACAAGAACACGACTTTCACTAGGACTGTACGTAAGGGTTATATTATATTTTTATTGATGATATTTTTAAATGTAGTACTGAGAAACTGGAGTTCTTAAAAAAAATCTAATACATTTTCAATAAATGGTACCACTTTTAATATATAAAAATATTACAGTTTATATCAATGCAATCAGTTGCATATGACTAAAGAGCACAATCCGAACACTTTTCCCATGCAATACTTTCCAGGAAAAAATTATTTTTTAGAAAATGTTCACTTTTTTAAAGTTTTTTTTCAATGAGATATGAATACTTTCATTAGTAATTACAAACACAAACAGACGCCCACAGAGTGGCATTTCTGCTAATTTAACTAAATAATACATACAAATCATAATAATAGTGTGCATATTTTGTGCAAACTTCGGGAAACAAGGAAATGAATATATAGTTAAATTCTACAATGTCGTTGACTTAGACAGTTGAATCAAACTTTTAATTTATTAAATAAAGGTTCTTAATCCTAAAAAAAAAATGAAAATTTCTATTGATGATTGGATAATGAATAAAATCTTTGTCTTTCTAGTTTCAAAACAACAATCCTAAGAGTTAACTATTATAAAACTTAAGGTACAAGGTGAGAACTATGAAATTTAATTTTTAGAATTATTGCAATGCTGAATTTCTGCTCAAAATAGCCAGTTAAGTGCAGAAAAGTCAACAAATTAATTGTTTAGAGAAGAAAAAGACAAGTACAACATACCAAGACATTCACAACAATATGCCAATCTCCCAGAACAGGTTGATCCGCTAATTGGAAGTCCAAAGACACAATACCTGAAAAAAAAAAGAAGCTTTAATCCAGATACAATATTTTTTAATAATGTAAACGTTAAGTAAAATTATGTTACACATGTGAATAATGAACTAATAATAGCAAATATATTTTGTTTTATCCCACAAAAATGGATAAAAAATTTATGAACCTCTAGATGTGCATAGAGCAGCAAGAAATTTTCATGAAGATTTGACTCAAAATGTTACCTTTAGTTAAAGATAGCCAGCAAACAAACAATTGGAAATTAATCTCTATTTTGTCTTTGCACTTTTTTAATGAACCCGTGAACAAGTGTTGTGATTAGCAATTGCTTTAATGCAAATATTTCTCATATTAAGTCTATCTTCTAATCCTAAAGTACCTTATTTCAAGAATATGTACTGAAAAAACAACTGTGCTTTAAATCAATAATGCAATAGCTCTTGGGTTACTGTGAAGCAGGAGTAACAAAAAATACTGTCTGTTTAATCCTCCATTAAGTAAAAAAGAAAACGTACATCAGAAGATAAAACATGCTCCATAAGTGGCATTATCTAAGTGGCTGTTAGAACGAGACAAAAACAAACATAAACATGTTTTGTCTTACCTTTTGATGTAAAGACTCTCTGCCATTGTTTGATTAGATTTCCTTTGCCATCCTATAATAAAATATCCATTAAAAATTGTGTTTCATCATTGAACCACAACTTAGAAGTACACATGCAATTAATATAAATAGTTACTTGTCAAAAATAATTTATAAATTCTATTCATTACGTTAGAGTAGGTGGTCACATTGGTGAAATTTAACAAAACAAGAACCTGAAACAAAAATTATGTTCAAAGACACCATTCTACAGGGTATAACAGATGAAGTTTTACACGTGTGCAAGAACTGATGGGTATCCAACTGACACGAATATTCCATGTGATGTTGTTTACTATACATGGTTTGACACATATGAAAGTCACAAGCTGTATCACAAACAGTCAATTTGAATTACCTAAAGACAGACAATCAGGCTATCTATCCCCCAAACACATGAGGCTACATCTAAAGACAGGCAAGCAGGCTATCCATCCCCCAAACACACGAGGCTACATCTAAAGACAGGCAAGCATGCTACCCATTCCACAAACACATGAGGCTACATCTAAAGGCAGGTAAATGAGCTACTTAATATGGAATATATTTATTACATTCTATAAAAAGAGTAGAACCTATGAAAGTACTATTTACTTTAGTCTCAAAATGGTTATAGAAATAAGTATTGTATAAGCATTCAGAAATCTGGTTTTTCCTTTCTATACTATTCTCAATTTCTAAACTCCCTCTATTGTATATGGACACTTTTTAATTCAGTGGCTTAAAAGTTCAGTGTACACATTTACAGGTGGTACATCCAATACCAAATAATAAATTAGGTTTATTTTATTATCATAAACAATTAAAATAAACTGATGTGATTTCTTATATATGCTAATGGCTAGCAAGTTTTTAAATGGGCCTTAAACATTGATGGTTTCTATTACCACTTATTGCTATGAATGATAGTATAGAAAAAAAGAAAAAAAAAGAAGGATGCTCAACAGTATACAATCTTATTACAGTAGTATTACCTTAAAGTCAGTTGGCAGTCATTAAGTTTGTGTTCTACATTTCCAGCAGCATGAATCATAAAGTGATGTAATTAGTACAAACATATACAGCACTACTATTGACGAAATCATGACTTGCTTCTTATACTGATGAAAGATGCTTACCGTGATATGAATATCTATAGCACCCGTCACACTAGGAATCAGGAAAGGATTGACAACTATCACTCTGTACTGGACTGTAAAAATATTTTTACACATTCATTATCCTGCTAAAAAAGCAGTATGATAATATATTTTTTTACTTATCTTTGTAATACTTTACAAAGAATATATTTTAAACTATTTACATAATTCGGTTTGCAAATGTTAGTCATACTTCATAATGTAAAAATGAAACAAATATTTCAAAAGATTCTGAAATTAATGAGATAGTGCCATCTCATATCCAAGAGCTAACAAATAACCACAAGAAAACAAATTAATAACAGGCAACGTAATTATTAGCTTTTTTGTCTTAGCACTACTTTTACACAGAACTACTTAAAAGAGTAACATTTATACATATTATGGTATAATCCTCCTTTAATGAACTGATAGTATAACATTATTTTTGGATATTAACATGTATTTTTTAATGTTGTAAACATACTGTATCTTAATTAACAAGTATCAGAAATTCAAAGCCATATTCCAAATATTAAATTCAAAAGCTTGCAGTGTGTACTACGAAACAAATCACAGCTAGTTATTTAGTGAACCAGCAGTGCTCAGTTCAACAGAAAAAATATAAACACAATGAACTCTGATAAATAAAATTGCAAATAAACTCATCAAAATATCAACAACAGTTTAAAACCAAAAGAGATTTACTTTGAACACATTTCAACCTAGCTGAAGCTCATAGGAGCTTTACATTTGGTTTTCACTTATGTATCAGGTTTACTACACAGTTTCAAATAATGACAAATATACATTATCAATATTGTAATGTTATTACCATACCTAGCTCATTGGGTTTGTAGATGGCTTTATCAGTTTGGATAAACACGGAATAGCTTTTATGTTCATATTCCAAAGCTGTTTCATTACGAAAAGTAAGCCCTCCTGTTCCAGATACTGTCAAGTTGTACTTTCCAGGTCCCCATTCCCCAATCTGTTGAAATTATCAGAATTAAAAAGGGAGCATGCTTATTTCTTTAATAAACAATATTTGGATACTAAAAAACAAATCCATTTGAAAAGTTTAAAATATATCAGATATTGGCATAAAAGGAATAAACTGTGGTTTGTATTCTAATTTTTAAACGTTTACATAAATGTGATAATTATGTAAAAAAATAACAGTTTACTTAAAAGCTTAAATGTGAATAAAATATTTAATTATTATGATAAGCCAATATCAATTAAACAAATGGTTGGTTTACTAGTAGAGTTAATTTCTTTTAATCTATGAATAAGTTGTTCAAAAACTTTTTGTTCTAAATTTAGACAAAACAGAATTCCCCCCTCCCCCATACAAGATACTAGTCTACAGTTAGTTAAAAAATAAACACAAAGGTTCCTCAAATTTATGTAAAACCTTACCTGAAAATTTAAAATCTGTGTTTCACCTATAAAATAAAAATATCATTAATAAGACACAAACAAAATATTTATGCACATTCAAAAGTTTCCAGTACACATTATTTAGATATCAAGCTTGTAATTCAATTTCTAAGCATTTAAATATTTCATTTAAATATTGAAATTCATCTATAAAAGCACATTTTCCATAATAATATGTATTTTGTTATAGGTAAACAGTTTAAAAGTAAACTTCCTTTAGTTTGCATTCAAGTTAATTTGAAAACTAAAGAAAATAAAAATTATTCTTGTATCATTTACTAAAAAATCATTTATATTAAACATTTAGGACAGAAAAAGTGCAGTTATTTGTTGTGCACAAGTTGACTTTTTTTTTTTAATGGAAAGTTTTGATAACATAATATACAGTAATAAATCTATGAGAAAATCGTACGTGAATTTAAAGTGACAACGCTGTTCACTGTATTGAAGTTTCCATTATCAGCTGGTCCAGCCACAGCTACTGTCACTTCCACTGGAGATTTGACATCATGAACTGATACACTGACATGATACTCAAGATTGGGTCTGAGCTTTGCTGGAGCAACAATAGTGTATGTTGCATTATTAGCTGGAGCTGGTGATGTTGATTCAACTACAGGGGCCTCAGTTGTTCTGTTTTCCAAGACAACTTTATATCAGCTTTAACAATTTACGTGCAGATAACATAAGCTTAACTATTTCATACATAGAAAAGGTTATACATTGCTCTCTTACTTACTTACTTTTAGAGATAAAGTGTGCACTTGCTAAGAACAATTTTTATGTATAACGTGCCCCCACAAAAATCTCGTATCTCTAAATGCACACTTACTTCTAGATTGATTTTTTTTCTCCTCTTGTTTTGTTAGACATTAAAAATTTACCCATTTATTTTTTTAAGTTATAAAATTAACCTATTACTTGGAAAACTGTTATTCCTGTACATAACTTGATTACCCTAACTTTTATGACTAAAGAGGCTATGAACTATGTATGACAGAAACAAAAGAGGATCAATATCACTTAAATATCAGTAGGATCTTATTCGTTTCTCTCCCATTAAACATCCCATTTCAGTTTTTTTGACAGTAAACATACAAAGACAAAGAAAAAACAACAACAAAGGTCATGTTATAATCAATAACTGTAGATATCCCTTATATAATCATATTTCATACAATTCTTATGGTTAGTATATAAATGAATTTGAAAATTTACCTTACAGAATATAAAACCAATATTTACCAAAATTTGCCTTTTTAATCTTGAAAAAAAAAATCTTTAGGATGAAACAATAGTTATTCACTGATAACTAATACATAAAAATAAATTTATCAGTGCATAAAAATAAGCTTGATTTACTTATGATTGTATATTTATTGTAAAGAAATCTCTGCTGCAGCTGGATGACAAGTTACAAAACTTTGCAAAAACTATAATTATACATGCCTGGTAGTGTAGAAGATGAAAATAAATTATTTGGCTAAAAAAAAAAGACATACACACATCTCTGACAAGAAAGGTCAACAACTTTACAACGAAATGCAAAATGACAAACAGGAACTAACTTTTTGTAAATTGTCATACCAGTTTCGCAGATAGTAGAGGTATTATGTACTTACTCTTGAGATGCAACAAAAGTGATGAGAAACAGGAAGCAAACCACCTGAACATCCCACATCTTTGTTTTCAGGAAGACAGGAACCTCTACATAACAAATAAAGGACTTGTTTACACACCCAACAATTTTTATTGTTGTCAACCTACCATATAGTCTAAAGAGGTTATACTTTCATTGTACAGGTTACTGGTTAGGCCACATTTGGAATATTGTGTTCAGTCTTGGGCTTCTTACCTTAAGAAAGACATTGAATTGTTGGAAAGGGTTCAGAGAGAGGTTAATAGAATGGTGCTTGGGATGGAGGGGTTGTTATACAATGAGAGGCTGAAATCTCTCAAATTGGTTTCTCTTGAAAAAAGAATAGTTTGGGGGGGGAGGATCTGATTGAGGTGTTTAAGATTGTAAATGGAACTGATAGTGTTGATGTATCATTCTTTTTAAATTAACATGAGATAGTAGACTAGGGGACAAATATAAATTTTGGCAAGGTAGGAGTCATCTTAAAGCTAAAACAGTTT